AAGAGAGGGGTTCGCTTCATGAACTTTTAACTATGGTATTTATAAGAGTAGTGTTAGTGAAGGCTGGTGCTTGTTTAATTTATTTGCTGTTAATACCTTGTTGTCTTGTCAGTTTCATCACTCATAGTCCAATAATGTTTTGCTCCATCTCCCGTGATGGCGGCCGTCTCTTATAATTAATAATTTTGTGCAGTTATAATCGTTTAAAAGTTTGATGGACTATCTCAATCATAGCAGATCGTTGGTATAATTATGCACCGTGGTGTTCAGTGAACACCACGGTGCATAATTTACCAACGATCATAAAATCCACGTGGTATTACTCACCTTTTATTATTTGAATACCACTCAATCGATAAATTAAGTAGAATTTCAAGATTACGTCTGATCCATTCGGAACCTAGCTGTCAACACTTCAAATTGTTTGATAATTGAAGTCTAAATTTATGACTTTAAGTTGCAGATAGTAGTACGATTGAGCACTATAAAGTAAGAGTTTTCAACAGGTTTGTAACAATTATGAATTTTCTCATGAATCGTCCAGCCAGGTGTTAACGTGAATAAAAATAATTATGTTTAAAATAAAAGTAATTATGTTATATCATAGTTTAACTTTGCAGGTCATGTTATGTATAATGTATATCGTTCACCATAATTAATTAATGATGAGTTAAGATAGCTTACGTACTTCCAAATCCAAGGGGAAGTGAAGGGTGAGGGTCAGGGGACAGTCGAAAGTTGAAGTATGGAGGGAGAGGTCGAGGTTTAGTTGGCAGTTGAAAGGTGAAGTGCGGAAGGGAGAGGGCGGGAAGGAAGCACTGTACCAGGTAACTCCAGAATGAGAAAGTGCTTCAAGTCTAGTCAGCTCGTCCGGTTCGGACAGTTTACAACATCATTAAGTTATGATATGTAATATCAGGTAGTATAGTGAATAGTGATAGTTGTTCAATATATCATCAATTGTCTTGTTGTATTAGTGGAAGATGCCCCAGCATAGCTTTGTGGTAACTAGGCAGTGTCCTAGAAAATCGGATAAGATCTTTTCATGTTGGCGGTTTCTGGATAAATCAAGTTGTGTTACTTTTTGTATGGATTGGCTTGTTTAAAAGTTTACATGTTTAGTCTCTGATAACTGGGGTATTAATTTATTTTCTGTTGTTTTACTTTTATCATCCCAAGAGTCTTTGACATTATGAGTACGTCATAGCACCATACCCAGGAGAAGGATTTTTTTAACTTGGTCAACTCCCTGTCATACTGGCCTCTCATTTTCTCACGCATCCTTTTTCTGGTTGCCGGGATGGACGCCCAGTACCAGGCATGGGAAAAATTACCAGCGGTATCATCTTAGTTCCAGTATGCTGATTCTATTCTTTTCACAAACTATTGATCAGGAATTCTCTGGTCTGAAATATCCTAGCCCTATTAATTTCTTTTTGTTCCAATTAACTGATCCATTGACCATTGTACAGGAATTCTTTTTGTTTCAAAGCTTGGTTAACAAAAGAACAAAAGCCTCCGCATTGTATAGACAGTACCGTGGTTTGACTCCGATGCTGGTCTTTGGGAATCAGATTTTCAGAGCATTATACCGCTATTGCTATGGACTTTCCACTTGCATTGTTGATTAATTAATTTCACGATTTCTAAGTGACATTTTTGGGCGCATATACGAATTACATCAAAAGATGCCTTAAAGAAACAAGCTGTTGAACATAATAATTTTATTGAAAGCTGATTTTTTTCTGGAAGATCTGTTCCAAAATGTGATCCCCAATCCATGATGTTAGCATCTCACACACTGCACCTTTAATACATTTCCAGTGGAGCCTTCAGCCGACCCAAAACAGATCGCACGCGTATATAAAACGCTCAATAATCCTAAGGAGTAATAGTGTAGGACATAGCTGTAGCTGGTAGACACTAGACAGTTTCTTCACTAGTATATATATTTTTGCGGCCAGGTAGCGCAGTTGGTTAGAACGCCTGTCTTACAATCGTTAAGTTGCGAGTTCGAAACCCACTGACTGCCTGGTCGTGGGGTGAGCGTCGTCGACGTTCAGCTAAGGATCATGAGTGGTCTATGCAGCCCCCCGGTCTACTCAGCCGAATACTCGAGAAATCGGGTGTGAGGGTTAAATGAGGAGCTGCACATTGCAGCAAAGTCTCGGACGAAGAAAGTATGGTACACACTACCTTAACCGTCACTGGCCAAAAAGATCCTTCGGCTTCCTGTAATTGGCTGGTTGCACTTGTGTAACATTGTGGCTGTTGGAATACACCGAAGTAAAATAAGTGTCTAGATAAAAAAAAAAAAAATATACGATATAAGGTTTCTGTAGGTCTGGAAGTTCAGAATAAGCTTCAATTAAGCCGCCGGTGCACTGGAGCAAAGTATCGGTAATTACTGACACCGGCTATACCATGGGTAGGAAGTAAACGACACTAATGGCGGGGAGTACTCTGTGCATAGCAGTACCAATATATTGATAATGCTTGGAAATTGCTATTTTTAATGGGTCGTATTAGTATCTTGAAAAAGTGAGAGTTAATGTTCATAATTCCTCAATATAAGATCATCGTTACTGTATGTCTTGCAAATGGTCGAAGCTGCTGTTAGTGTACTCTGCGACATATTGGCAGCGTTGTGTATAACGACGTGTCAAACGTTTAGATGAAACATAACCAAGGGCACCACACTTCCATATTTATATTACCAAATTGCAGACATGCTCTCATCTAAGCAGTCGGTTGCAAATTATTCAAATTAACGGAGTCTGGTTGACGATGTTGGCGCGAGGTTCTCAAACCGATTATCGTCATTGGTTTTTAATATATTTATGTCTTTCTGCTTGGCATCTGCTAGATCAACTTCCAGTTCCAGAATTTCAGCGGAAAGAACCTTATCGAGTATTCGATAACGTTTGATGTTTTCTTGAGCTAGCTCAGCAATCATAGGTTAGATATCACCGTAACTGTCAGTTTATGAGTTGATGCTCCGGCCATAGCACTTCACGTTTGACTCCCACTATTACATAACAAAGATAATTTCAGTGAGATTCCACTGCCAGCGACTGGATTATCAGTCTAGGATCGGGATGATTTTGATCCGCCCAGTTTCATCGTCAAAATCAGAAGGACCATGAACAGTATTTTACACGTGCATGTTAATAAATCAAACTGTTTCACCAAATCATTCTGGCCATGTTTCACTTAGTAGATCGTTTGCTATTGTGATTCAGATTGGACCATTTATATTAGATGATGGACTGTTTTTTTCTTCGAGTAATGAAACCCTGTGAGTAATGATCTGTTCTTAGACCAAATCCAATTCGGTCGAAATTTGTTATTTGGTCGATCGAATACAAAGGATTACAACCTCTCGAATTGCAAAATCTCTGATTTGCGCCATAATAGATAGTAACAATGATTTTTCTGTGATTACAGATTCCGGTGGCTGCTTCTGCAGCTGTTTCCATTTAGAGCGACCGTCTACGTATAATTATTTTTGTTGCTTTTCTTAAAAGTTAATAATTCGTTACTGAAATGTTTCTAGGGATCGTCAAAAGTAGTAGTGCAGCAGTTGCAGCTGTAATATAAAATTAAATAACACAATTTAACTGATTTAGCTTATTGTGGCACTGCACCTGCAGCCCTAAAATTTCGCATTTATTTGAGGAAAAAGTTTGATTCAGCAAGAAAAATGCCCGAGAATTTTAGGCCGCCAAATTAATTAGGCATCTTCACCCATGAAATCAAGAAAACCATTCAAACCGATGTTTTGAGGTATGGCAGTGGTTGGTCATGATGCAGAAAATAACCAGTCTGGTATGCGCTGTCATAGTTGCATCGAGCTGTAAATCCAATTATCGTCATATTTGGTATTTTACCTAATTTGTATCTGCAAATTCTACTTCTAATTCCAGTACCCAACTTGGTCTCAAATCTCCATAATTTAGTTATATTTCCTACTTTAGATTTAGCAGTTTCTTATCAGTTTTATTCGTCATCTTCCCATGGTAGGTTGACCTAGATTGTTGCTCAGTCAGATCTGCTTCATTACGTTTAATATCACTGTCCCTCCCAATTCTAGTACCGAATTTATCTTAGGAAGTTGGACGCTATATGACTACCATAATTAAGGTTACTATAACGTGATTTTAACAACTAGATTATCTCGTCTTTTTATCTTTTACACATTGGTCACTTGCAATGGAGAGTTACAAAAGGATTTCAGTCTCTCGAATTACATCGAAGTCTTTAAGTAACGAATCTTTTTAATGTATTTTTGTGATTACAGTGTCCGTAGATTTGATCAGCAGCTGCTTCTATTTAGAGTAATCTGGCAAGGAGGCCTCGTTTCTTTTATAACTGCAATCTTTCCGACTTTCCTGGGGTTCTCAAGATCACTAACCGTTAATAAACTGCTGCCGTGACACTATTTCGCTCGGCCACACAATTTGGCTGTTTCAGTCAATTATCATCGGAAAAGTACTGGCGGCTTCTGCTGAAATATTCGGTTATCATTATGCATGCTTTTATAAAAAATTAAATTTTTGTTAGACGTCTTCCAGACTTTAAACACGTTTCTGTCGGAGATGAATTACGGTAACTACGGATTCAGACCTTATATAGTTGAATCCAGCTGTATAAAGTTAAACCGAGCTTCGTAAAGTTTTTACGATGATTCTGACACATTTCAAGGACAAATAATAAGGGCGAGACTCAGTAAAAGTTAGGAACATTCTATAAAAAACTAAAGCTTTGTGAGCCACCTGGTTCCACCACTTCTGGATTTAAAGTGTAAATAACAATTTAGCCATTAGTCAACATTCACGACAAGAGTTTTCTCTCAACAGAGACACCTTATTATTTCGCAATTCATTGTATCGAGATGTTTTTTTGTCTTCTGAATCTTCAGAAGGTTATTGATTACAATACACCGTACTTCTTGATAAGTAACATCGGTTCTGAATTTAATTTTTGAACAGTGTATCGAGAATTTAAATAAATAACACTTTGCTTTCATTAACTCAACTTTTATTCTAGCGATACTTATAACAGAATGACTACTCTGGTTCCACACACGATAATATTTTGGATACTTGGTGGGATGGGTGGGGTGCACTCTCAAGTTGTTACTATTAGAATGGGAATATTGCTATCTGGTGACGGTTGGAAGACTGGAAATGATTCTTACCCAGCAGCAGAAATAGCAATAAAGGACTTGGAGGAATATTCAAAAAGCTGGGATAGACGTAAGTTTTTAGTATATTTTTTAGAATTTAAATGTCATAAAACGAATGTAGTGATTGTTAGCTTGGCCCAAATAATAACGATTGCAAGTTTATCTTTATTAATCAAACTTTAAATCTTCAGCTCTAAAGATAGAAACGAAGATAGAGATAACATACTGCAGTGAATCTGCTTCATACGCAGCCGCACATAATCTTCTAGAATGGGGGTAAGATTTGACCGTTTACTTAACAGACCAATTAATTAATTAAATTAAGCTTTAACCGTTACTTAACAGAATAATTTCCGATAATTTCCCAGCCACATTGCTTATAACATTGCTCAACTTATTCAATGTGGTACCGTTAGCTGTCCCTTCGAAACTATTAAATAAAACTTTCAAGTTCTGGAAGATATTATAATGTTGATACTGACTGATAAATAGGTGATGGATATAATGCGCAGAGCATGAGGCGAAGGCCAAGCCACATTGATATAATGAAATACCATCCCATTGGTAATTATACCACTGTATTGGTAGTTTGTGTGCCAGCTGTGCAAGTGATTATAGTAATTATCAGGTGGCTGGTACCACGTCACCCCTAACGTCACCCCTAACAACCTGACTTCCAGTCATGTTCATGTCATCTGGTACCTAACCATCTCAACCACAGCTGACTTCCAGCCTTGTTCATGATGATTTCAGCTGCAGACGTTAACAGCCTGCCTCTAGCGTCTTATTAAAATGATAAAATTTAAATATTCTTGAATATTCTTGAATATTCTTCATATTCTTGAATATTCTTGAATATTCTTGAATATTCTTGAATATTCTTGAATATTCTTGAATATTATTCATCATATCAGGGCACAGGTTATCATAGGACCAGCTTGCACGACGGCCTGTATACCAGTTAGTCTCATGGCAAAGGAGTACAATGTACCAGTAATATCCTACGCCTGCTCTGGGACAAGTAATATGAAAGATTTACTTATTTAAAATTTATGATCTGTTTTGTCAAGTTGAGATGATAAATGCAATTCTATCACCGCACAACTCTTTGACTTTAAATTAAAATTAAATTGATCAGTAATCCGTATGTAAATGGTTACAATTTAGTAATATAACTGCGTAATTTTCAGTATTAAGTCAAAAGGAAATATATCCCAACTTCGCAAGATCATCAGAATCGTTGAGCGGTGCTAGTACATTACTAATGAAAGTGTTTGGGTTAGTGGAAGAGTTTGTAATTAGTCATTGCCTTTATTTCCGGTTCTGGCAATAAATCATCACCTAGTTGAGCGAGTGTTAGGGAAACTTCTTCAGCAATATTCAAATTCCAATTAATTATCACTTGTTATAAGCGAAACATGCATTTTTCTTCTTTATTAATTCACGTCCAAGTCTTGTTTTGGTCATTAAAATGTTTTCTGGAAGGATTAAAAATGAAACCTTTTTCAGGCGATGGGACTTTAAGCTATACAGCATTATGACAACAACTCAAAAAATAAATGTAGACCTTGCCATAGACTTTGTGACGCAAATGAGAGATGCCACTGGTAAGAATAAACTAAAAAAATTTGTTAGAAAATTACCCTCTTCAAAATTGATTAATCATTGCATTGATAATGATTCAGCCTGACTACTTTCATCCTTTCTTCCCTGTAAATACAAAATGGTTACATTTCTTACATTTTCTTAGAGTTAACTTAACACAAGATATTCACAAAATCTATTAATAGCATATCTGGTCGACAATAATGCTGAGATGCAGGAAGGTAATTTTTGGAAGTGAAAGCATTTTTAAGTTTGACATGATTTTTAATTTCACGAGTGAAGAATTGCAGTTGTTTGCGGTTTCTTCGTATTTCGTAATCCGACAAAAGTAATTTTGAGTTTGTTGTGAGTTCAATCTGGCGGGAAAGATATCCATTGCCTTGTATTGATTCTTGTTTGATTTTATAGTAATGGTCGTTGTCTTGATTATTAATGATAAAAAACACGAGGTCTGTGTTCAACTGTACAACTTGATCAAGACGAATTGGTAGAGTCCTATTCTGAGTGAAACTCTAAAATGATATGCGCATCGATAATTTGTAATGGCTGCAAGGGTTTTCATGATCCATATAAAATTCTAACGATGATAAAACGAAATCTTCGATATAAGAATTTATGCACATCTTTGATTATATTTTTGATACATAAATAGCTAAAGTTCTGCTCCAAAAACCCCTTGTTAAAACTTTTCTGTTTTACCCAGCATTAGGAATAGAAGAAAACGCTGAAGACCGCTTCAAATTGAAGCAGTTATCTACGGTAGTGGCGAGTCTAGCAGTACAAGACGATGCCATTCAGGAAGGGACAAAGGAACAACTTGACTCATTCTTATCGGACGCCTGGGGTAAACACAAAATTTATCTGGCTGCATTCTCAAGAGATAAATTGAGATTGTGCGTATGTTTTTTATATATAAAAGTTGTTGACGCATCAACACTAAACAGTGGCTGTACTTAATACTCATAAAATATCCACAGTTTTCTTCATACCTACGTACGATGGTGACGCAAATTTCATTTTGGAGAATGCTGCGAAAGAAGTTGCTGATACGTTTGGCGTGGATAAGACTGAAGCCTGGCAGAAAACCAACTACGCTTGGTTTAGATATCAAGTAAGAATTGATGACAAGTTTAAAAAATGTATAATAACTTATAAAGTTTTAAGTTTATATCCTTTATTTCCTGTATAAACGAAGAAGCTAATTTTGCTATTTATGCTAAGTAGCAATTATAATAATTATGCATAAACAATTAGTCAAATGTAACCTCCGCAGAGTTTCGTCCAGTCGGAATATAAAGATTACTACGAGAATGTTTTTTCTTTGGAAAATGATACCCCTCACAAAAGCTTTCCGGCAGCTTACGATGCATTCTTGGCGAAATTTGAAGATCAGGATGCGGTGTTAAAGGTATATACCTTACTTCCAAATGTTTTCTCTTCAGCTTTACATTAAAGAAATTAAATAACTGAGCAACTTTACGAATTATTTAAACATAAATTCAACACATAACCTGAAAAGTAGATATAAACTCTTGTGGGCACTATTAGTATTAAGTATTAACAATGGCTGATACTCAGGGCAAGCCAGAGGCAGTGAAGCTATACCTGGCATACATGTACAATGCAATTACCGCTTGGGGTACAGCATACAAGAAAACTGGGGCCACTTACAGTGAAAGAGATTGGAAATACGAAGCTATAATTGGGCAGTTAAGCGACCTTGAGTATACGGGTAAGTTGTGGACTAGAGCAAAGCAGCAAATCTGAATTCTGAAGATTAATTATTAATGAATATTCCAAAATTCATTTCCATTCTAATGAAGTGACAGTAAAGACCATGATGTTCGATAAAATCAAGTTGTTGATTATTATAGCAATTTAACATATTGTATTGCAGGTGCATACAGGTTAGAAACGCTAAACGATAAAGCGGAACCAGCTAACGCCATCTGGAACCTGAGACAGTACCAGGACGGAGCGTTTGTAGACGTGGTTACCCAGCACTTGGAGGATCCGGGCATGTTTACTGTTCACAACGACAAAGTCAGGTGATTGTACAAATAGGATCTTATTGTAACGCAGTTATTAATGGGTCTAATGAAAATTAGAATATAATAATATGTGAAAATGAGAATATGTGAAAATGAGAATATGCGAGAATATATTAAGATTTTAAACAAGTACCAACACAATCGTTCACTTCAGATGGCCGAACGATAAGAAAGTGGACCCGTGTGAAGATAACCGTTGTCTCACAGCGGGTACTGACAACACAGTACTATTTGCAGTGGTGGGTATCTGCGTGGTTCTGGTGGTGGCGGTGATTGCTGCTGCAGGGTTCATCATCCACAGGCAGAGAACCAGGAACAATGAAGATAGGAAGGTCGAGTGGAAGATTCCCTTTAGTGAGCTGGACTTTGCTGTGAAGAAAAGTGTGTCTGGAAGCAGGAAGGTAGACGATGGATCATGCGAATTTATATTCAACATCAATTACTACTCAACCAGGCAAAATTGACATTTAAAATGGACAATATCTGTTGGTAAAATTAAGTTGTCTAGTTTTGAAGTGCAGTAATATTATAACTGCTCAATGATTCACCGAGCTTGAAATCATTTCAGTTTGGGGTTGATGACAAACCATCAGATATATCTGTTGCCAGATGGAATCATACCTTCGTTGTGGTTAAAAATCTCACCGTCGCAAACATAACTATCACCAAGGAGACTCTGGAGGATATTTACGTGGTATGCAAATAAATTCCAGATTTAAAATCCTCGAAACCAACCATATAAAACCTTTTGTTAGTCGTCATTCAATCTGCAGAGCTGCTATAAATATCCATAAACTTCTTTTAAACAAATTGTTATGATTAATTATACATTTGTTTTCAGATAAAGAAAGAGACTCATCCAAACTTGGAAGCGTTTTACGGATTATGTGACGACCCTGGATACTGTTCAGTGATCACTGAGTACTGCTCTAAAGGTTCTCTTGAGGACCTAGCTCATAATGATAACGTGCATCTTGACTGGATGTTCAAACTCTCTCTAGTAATAGATGTTGCTAAGGTATTTGGGTCTTTTATAGGACCCTTGTAAGGCTTGGAATTATTTCAACGTCGCTGTAGTGACGTAAAAAGTTAAGTGAGGCTGAGATAAGAATATATCAAAATAAATTGAAATATGCAGGCAGGCGTCAATGTGCTATTCTCTTGAAACATTTTTCTATCCCAAAAAGGGTTTGAGGTATCTTCATAACTCTACGTTTGGTTACCATGGAAACCTGAGGACCTCGAACTGTATAGTAGACAGTCATTGGGTATGTAAAGTAGCAGATTTTGGTTTGAAGAACATGTACAGAGAATTTGAGGACACAAAGCAAGAGAAACCAATGAATAAAGGTGCGAACGTGAGAGGTAAGCTTATCATGAAGTTATAAAATATAAATTATCTTTCATTCAACTGGTATTAGCAGTTACTAATTAATGACTAATTAATAACTAATAGGTGACTAATTAGTTACTTATTAGTGACTTATTAGTGATCAAATAGTGACTTATTAGTGACGTATTAGTGACTTATTAGTGACTTATTAGTGACTAATTAGTGACTTATTAGTGATCAAATAGTGACTTATTAGTGACTTATTAGTGACTTATCAGCAGTGACTCGATATAATGACCTTAGTTCGTCTTATGCTGATCTTTAAGAGGCGATGGAAATATTCAGTATACTACTCAATTGCATGCGCTAAATAAGGTTTCAAGTAACCTACAAGTTGATATTTTTAAATCTTACGATAATGGTATTGTTTAAAAAAACGTTTATAAAGAAGCGTTTTGATCATAGATAGCGGGACGACGGTAACTAACCTGTCCGCTTCACAAGACAGTACTGATCAAAACACATTGATTTTAGAAATCAATGATGTTGCTATTCTAAGAGGTATAATAAGTCAGCTACCACCGCGCACCAGCACCAGCTTGCTTAGCTAAAAGAGGGGCTTGCTTTCGCTTTTTTAAAGAAAATTAAGTGCCATTACAAATGGAATAGGAAACAAAATGTTTAGAATTAAGTTATTCTATAAAGTAAGATCTTGTTTGCTTTGATTATTTGACAAAGCAATCTCTATAGAGGGCACATCGGAAAAGGAGAGATTAATATCCGGAAAAGGTAATGGTGTTTTCAATCTCACTTCCTATTCCTCGAAGGATGGGGGCCTCAAAACGTCAACTGTTCCCACGCATCGTGAGTGTGATTCATGTCGATTGTCGGGGGACGTCCGTCATGTCGGAGACGCGTCCGTCATGTCTTTAAGCGAATGATGAAAGGCACTTTTCTTGGGAAAAGCATTTGTTGATTTGTGGAGAAGCTTATATTAGAAGGATTTCGAATGAAAAAAGAAAATTAATAGATATGATAGTCTCCACTCTCCTTGAGATTATGCAGTTAATTTGCTCTGATTAAAAATAAAAACCAAAAATAATTGGCTCAAATCTGTTTCATGGGATCTACACGATAACACGATTTACACTATCTAATTGATTAAAAAAGACATGGTGCTTAAATTTCAAAATTGATCAACTTGGATGAAAAATGAGTTTCTGACAGGATTATGATCAATACGAATCATGAATTTGCATTTGATTTAATTTCCTATTATTAAAATATTATCGCTAAAAGCTGAGTTCGCTAACCTTGAAATGTTTGTTATCTATGTATCATTGATCATATTTTCTTCCTTTATTTCACCTTAGACTGTCTCAGGAATTATAGGCAATCTTATCATCATATACTTTTAGCAATATGATCATTATGGATCTTTAATAAAAATATCGCTTTAAAAATCCAAAAGTTTCTTAACAGTTACTACTTCTCAAGCACTCAATAACACATATTAACCTAGCAAACAATAAACAAAGCATGAACTCAGATTTGTTTTACGCCGCCCCGGAGAAACTATGGCCGAGCTCCAAGGAAAGATCACCGAAGGAAGTCCAGAAGTGTGACACATACAGTTTCTCAATTGTCATGTTCGAACTGTTTGCAAGAGAGGCTCCTTATGACACCGCTGAAATTCTTCCTGAAAGTAGGTTTTCATGAGATATTTAATTAAGTAGTACTGTTACGTGCACTTCAGTTGTTGTCTTTCAGAAAATTTATGCTTAATCTAGATCCATTATTCTTGAATTGAATATTAGAAAGGCCACTCATGTATTACAGCTTACATAGGGTTATGTATTTTTAGTACAATAGTTCAACAGTCCTTCAGAATCACTTTTTCAGAAATAATACAGAAAGTACGAAATCGAGAATCGCCGCCGTATAGGCCTAATTTGGAGCTTATGCATATTACAGACAAAACAAGCTATGAGGTAAATGCCACAGCTGTTTCTTTTCGCCATTAAAATTGTTAAAATAAGGAGCACGATAATTATATGATATGCTCATTTTAATTTGAATGATTTCTACAAAAAACCCGGGTTTTTGCCATCTTGAATGCGCCCTTATTTTTTGTCATAAAACACTTTGTTGTTAATAGAGTTGGTCTCCTTTAACCGTCATAGACGTTACATTTTAAATTCTAAATGGTTTAATACCAACTCTCAGCAAGTTAAAAATTAATTTAAAAAATTAAAAAATAAAAAAAAACTCTCAGCAAGTGGGAGCAGAAGACTCAGCTAATGCAGTACCAGCAGAAGCAATAGAGCTGATGAAGCAGTGTTGGAGAGAGATGCCTTTTGAGAGGAATAATATGAGTGATACTGTACAAGCCTTGGAAGACATGAACCCAGACAGGTTACTATTTAGTAAATTGAAATACCTCAGCAGGGCATCCCTCTGGAATTTAAATCATTTTGTAAATTCTATGGTGAGTAATTAAAAGATCTAGGTAAGTGATAAAGTAAAAATATATCAGGAATACGATAATCAGTTAATCACGAATAGACCGAGAAGAGTTGATACTTGATTGCCCAAAATTCAGCGAACCATTTTTATCTAAAACCAATCCAATGTCTATCATTTAAAAATAACAACTAAACTAAATCATGGCACAATCACGTCATGGGGCAATTTTTATTTAGTCATTGCACGAATGTTTCACGCCTCAAAAAGGCATCATTGCTTTGTTTATATTCCTTTTAATCGGAATTTGAGCACTTGGATTACTGAAATCACTCAAGTTTTAGTGCAAATATGACACCTGACGCCCGAATAAAACGTTGTATAAGAGGTTTTAAATTTTAGATATTAAGGAATTATGAGGTAACCGGAGAATCCTGTTAGATTTAAATCGAAATGTTGACATAGAGAAATTATTTGATGATTGGGCAAATAATGAATCCTAAAGATTGTCGTCATGCAGACTGTAAACTAAATCCATAGTGCCAAAAGACGAGGTCAACAATATGTTGCAATTTTAATGTATGCATGAAATGACATAGCCTAGCCGATCATATAGTCAATGGCAATGAAATCAGCAAGAAAAAAATAAAATCATTACTATAAATTACAATCTACCATCAATATTTAAGCATTTTAGTCTCATATAACGTATTTGTGTAAATAACCAGGGTTTCTTCACGGATGCAAGTGAGACTTATCGAAATGTTCAGTCCACCCGAAAAGAGATGCAGCTTGTTTGTTCTCAACAGGTCTAATGGCAGAAGACCTCCTCAGAGTTGGAGTCAGCATCATTTGAGTGCTGAAGGCAGATCGTTTGAGAGTCGCGTACTTCTTACAGACAATAAGGCACCAGAACATTCTTTTGTAAACCGTCCTGAATTGAGAGTTCAGCCAGCCGTATAAAAGTGGGTTGACCCCACTGTTTGCTAACAGTCCCCAGATCACTATCTTGCTGGTTGCCTTTGAAAAGGGTATTTGGAATCCGCACCAGAAGATAAGACCTATGATGAAGGTCGGTAAAATACATCCCATCACAAAGGCGGTGAGTAGAGCGGTGATCTTGGCAGTTCTGATGTTGAAAATAGAAACTTGGCGGCCACTATTGCCTCCACCCAGCACGAACCACGCGATGTAGCTGTACGATATCACGATCAGAATAATAGGGGCTGGGAAGGTCAGGAAGACATAAAACAGGAAGTAGTATCTGTGAACACTGTCAAATCCGCCTGATGAAGACATGGCACAAGAGAGGCTGTATGAAGAGAAGTCGTAGCCACTCCAGCCTAGAAGAGGTGGTGCAGCAGCCAGAGCTGATATAAACCAGATCAGTCCCACTATTTTAACTGCTTTCTTCTGCTTCATCTGGGATTTGTAACTTATCGGAGACTTCACTAACATCCACCTGTCAAGAGCGGTAAATCCAAGGGTCCACACTGATGCGGTTATAGCAAGGGAGTCAACAAAAGCAGAGAACTGGCACACAGAGTCGGATAACACCCAGGACCTGAAATAAACAGATACAGCCATGGTGGGTAAAGTCCAGATCCCCACGATGAAGTCACTACACCCGAGGGAGAGGATGAAGATGTTACTGGAGTTTTGGAGGGATCTGTCCAGATAAACGGCCAGAAATTGTAGGACACTCCCGAACACAGCAAATAACGAGAGGATACCTGAAAGAATAAATAGATTATTATAATTTATTGGGACACACAATAAAACAAACAACGGTTATGAATTATGATACAGGGTGATCCAAGAGTCCGGCTGCGATTTACTATTTGAATGATTCCTAAACGGCGCAAGATAATTCAATTGTTCAACTGTATCAATGATAAAGCTTATGTCAATGTATGCGAGACACAAGAAAATGAAGTGATTACAGAATACAGAAATGTAGTTTCAGATGCAGAAGAATATCAACATGTTGCACTTACATAAGCAGGACATCATCAGCGCAAATTGACTGTTCGAGTAGTCGTTCTTCTTTCCGCTAACGGTCTCGTAGACTGTGGAGGCTGTCTGGTGTACTTGTAGTTCTGTAATATTCAATACCATCTCCGTACCTATGCAACACTGCTTGATATTTATGTTATTTTTTAATGTAAATATATAAGCGGGATATAAATGCTACATTTCATTTCAAATAACAAAATAAGATTTGCACTTTGCATACCCAAGGACCAAGGTAGAATAATCAAGAAACACACAAAACAACTACTGCCCCGTTATGCGATCAGGTACCGCTCATAAAAAGTCTTACAAACATTTCTCGAGAAAAGACGTTTCATTATGCATGCATAGTCTATTGGTCTTAACTAAATATGGCTTAATACAGAATGCTTAATTCTAGGGAGGGGCAGCAGTCAATCTATCAGCGATTGGCTGAAAGGGCTCGATCAGAATTCAGAATCATGAATGTTCTAAAACGATTTAGCACGATCAAATAGGGATAAATGTTTTGGTGGGTATTTGATAATGATATACAGTTAAACCGAAGTGCTTGTTCTAGAGAACTCCATGAATATGACAGTCTCATTCTTACTGGCATCATACATTCTATTAATATTAGCAATTTAATCTTGCTTCCTCAATATGTCAAGAAAAAAATCGAAGGCCGGTGATAGGTGGATCGCAATTAAAAGCATTATATTTCACTTGACATTAAGTTCAATCCCAGGAAGGCGTATTTAAGACTTATAAAATGACCACAAGCTATATCCACGAACCTCCACTGCTTCGATGTTTGAACTTATAAACTTATAAGGAGAGTGGCGAGCCAATGTAGAACAAATCTTGTCAGATTGCTGATACATAACTGAAGAAACATGGCCCGCTGTGCAATTCCTGACATAGTGACAAGCCATTCATACGTAGGTAGATAGAACTAGTTGCTTCGTCCAACATTTTGCTTTTATGAGTGGATGGAGCGAATGTCTCGGGTATTTCATCATTATGTATCGGGATGGAAGTGCTTTAACCAGCTAGGTGTAGCCAGTTCACATCCTGGCTCCACAATATGAAAGACTTGTTTTAGTTCCAAATAAAAGCTCGAATATTGAGAAAAGGTATCCAGTCTAAAATTAGCGCCAGCATGAAATGAACTAAGACTGAGGAAACCATAGTTGGTTCGTGCGCACTTAACGTACTTTTTAAACATAACGCACTTAACGTACGAAAAAACGTAAAACGGTGAATTCAACGGTAAATGTACTTAAACGCACTTTTAACGCACGAAATAATTCAAACGCACTTTACGTACTTTTCCCGAAAAATTGACGCACGAACCAACTATGGAGGAAACAAACTTGTCGATCAGATAGATGGCTGCCTGCTCAGGACTATGAGCTTGTGAGGTAATAAAAATGCTGACGAGCAGGCAATTCCTAGCACGGAGGCCAATCTGACTTGCCCCATTATCCTATCTTACGTTGCAGAAGTCAAATTAATTATACAAGTAAGCGACGAGTGGCCTGCAAAACACACCAAGATGACACTTGGCGTCATGTATTCAGGAAATCAAGAAAACCCTTAACTGAAGAATAACGGAAATTATGAGATATATCTCATAATTTCCGTTATTCTTCAGTTAAGGGTTTTCTTGATTTCCTGAATACATGACGCCAAGTGTTTATTAATTAGATATATCTTACTATATATAAAGCGAGACGATATATATATGTGTATATATCCGTGCCATTTTACTGACACCACGGCATCAACTTTAACGCGACTTTCCGCAAAAACCGTAAAACATATACAACTGAAACTTTTTTGACTGGGTCAAATGCTTTAATGGCCTTCAAATCAGCATGAAAAAATAAAAAATTGGCCAAGGAATAATAATTTTAGTGCCCAAAATTTGGACTCTCAAGTGGTGTCAAAAACGCGAATTAAATAGGTAATAATTATTTTAGTCTCTCGAGTCTTGACACCACTTTAGGGTTAGACGGGTTCCTGCTAGTATATCTAATTAATAAACAAATTAAAACCACTCAGAAAGTTCATATTTACCGATCATGAACAGCAATTTGTCGCACATATCAACTGGAAATTTCCAGCCTAGTAATTAATTATCTTGATAGTTGGATAATATCCGGTTGATAGTTGGATAATATCCGATTAATTATCTTGGTGGGTAAAAAGCTCAAACAAATACCTCTGCTTTTTTAACGGGCTAGATATTCAATATTTCTAATCACAGATAACTCCAATAAAATTAGGTCAAAAACCTATCGGTTTGTTAGTACAGAATGAGTCTCAAGAACTTATTAAATAGAAATAAAACTAGTTGAGGCATGTTTTTATTTAGTTAGGCCGTTGTTGGTTTACCATCAATTGTTTATAAAGTGTTCGCAATGTTATGTTGACCATTGTCAGAAAAAATTGAGTAGAGGTAATAGATCGCAGCAGACTGCTGAGCTAGGCCTTTACACTTTACAGTTATCGTAAGCTTGACTTATCTCAGAAAACTTCAAAGTTTGATGAGTGTTTTAATCGATTAAGGGCCATATAACTAAGGACAAAAAATTGGAAAGCTGACAAGTGACAACCTTTTTTGTCTAGATCATCTCTTAGGGAACTATATGAAACAGCTGCTTTGACGAATGAACTTTTATGAGATGTTCCATTCATTCTTTTCAGAGGCATCCTGACTCATTATCTCATCGATGAAATGGGTTATAGCCGGGCCGACGAAGAGGGTACATGCGAAGCCGTGCAAATCCATTCAAACGTGACGCTCACTGCATGCAATGTCTCAAAAAGTGTGCTAATTTGAAAAAATTAACTACGCACGTAATCAGTTTCACATTTACGAACTGATTCATTATTTGAACTTTATATGACAACGATGTAGACGTCTGATCAGTGACAGTAATTCGAGGAAGCAGCTTTAATTAAAGCAACTCTCACCGATCATTCAGTTTGAGTTTGACTTTGAGGGACCTATAATAAAGCTAAAACCAGTCATGTTCAACAGTCATGTTCACCAGTCATGTTCATCCTCAGCTCGATTAATCAAGCAGTGCGCGGCTAGACGCCCACTATGGGTGCTTCCACTTCCAGAGTAACAATTTGGTGATGGTATTTGTTCATTATCTTTAAAATTGATGTCGTGAAGAATCGATACTTTTGTTGATCACGTTCGCGAGAAATGGTTGCTATATTCGTTACGATATTACTGTTCGACTGAGTCAAACCATGTATTTAAAAATCGATAGAATTTACAAAATGTCACGTGACAGCCAAACAGTCTTCAAGTTCATAAAACAATAAAATCTGCAATAACTGACGAAGGGATCGTAAAAACAAATTGAAAGAGCGCAGTGTAAAAAGTTACATGAAGCAAAATCGTAATTCATAATCCATACCACTGCACTGCAAATATATTATATAAATATATTTCATTGCTGAACTTCTACACAATAAAAAAGCGGTTTTGACTAGATAGGACTAGATAAGATCCTCGTAATTCTTTGCATCATTTATTAACATAAATTCTGAGAAATTATATCATTAAAGCAACTATAACAAATACGAATCATATACAATATTGAGAATATATACAAACTAAAAGAAGTGGGAAAATCTGATGAACGGAAATTTAAAAAAGGAACTAAAAGCTGTGAAAAAATATACTCTTAGTCTTATCTTATCTCATATCTAAATACTGATAACTGATTCTCAGAAAATCACTTAGATTCACAAATAAACCTGTAAAACGTATACTAAAGTAAAAAATTTGTAAACACGTCTCTGGAATTATAACGGTATAACTAAATAAAATCTACGATTAAAACAAAAACCAAAACTAAGCTCCGGCAGACTTAAAAAGTATATGGTTACTATCAAGGGTGTTCATACCCCCAAACCGTTCAAGGGTTTTCAATTGGGTTTGTTAGAACACCTCTCTAGCTTCCATAGCCTTTTCTTTGTCTGATTTACTAATATTTGGCTCAAATACTAAAGCGTCTACTGTAATGACAGAAAGGTGCTTACCAAGTGAGGAATTATAGGAGGCTATGGTACTAAAATCTAAAACATGATCAATTTCAAAAAATGGTTAACTAATTTACAACTTCTTATACCTTTCTTTATGTGACTCTTATGGTTAGAGAATCTCTTAGGGAGATTTGAGGTAGTATAACCGACAGACGACTGTTTACAAGTCTTACACTCCATCAAATAAATGAGGTTATAACTCTGACAAGATATATACTTAGTAATAGGAAAAACTTGTTTAGAATGGTGACTACTAAAATTATATATATATTTAAAGAAAGATCGTTCGCGAAAGTGATTACACTGCGTCAATTGTCAAAACATTAAAATGACGTAAGAAATAGTCGATAGCTCTGTCCTGATCCTGGCTCTTTTTTTGCAAAAAAAGAGCCAGGATCAGGACAGAGCTAGGATCAGGACAGAGCATGACATATGCACAACTCGATCAACTCCTAGACGAACATGATTCGAAAACTGCATTTAGGCAGTTAGTCAGTTATATTAATATATTATATGCACTTTTGAAACACCATAATTATAATGAAATGGGTGTTTTCAAATACGCTAATGGCATTAAACAGGGTGATTCATAATCAACAAGCTAACTAAATAGCGAAATGTCAGCGTCACAATATGGCGAGGAAGTTCACAACGAAATTATTAATATTGGACGGTTGCGTCATCAGGCATATACAGTTGATTCTGGGAATTACCACTACCAGCTGTTTTGGGGTGGTTAATCCAAGCTCTAACAACAAAATACACGTCACTAACTAACACCATGTGTTTACCAGGTCACTGAGTATCACAGACCGAGTGGTGAAGATGATGGAGAAGTACTCGGAGGACCTGGAGAACAAAGTGGCAATGAAGACGCACCAGCTGCGGAGTCAGCAGGCTGGCAAGAGCCTTTCTAAATACCTGCCCAGGTTAGGAATCTGATGACGAGACCCTTATTGGGGCTGTATATATATTGGGGCTGTCAAACTTGCTAGAACTTACTAAAACTGTCCTTATTGGGGCTGTCAAACTTGCTAGAACTGTCGTGCGTTTATGTAATTGCAGCGTCCGTCATCCTCCAAATCAGAGTCACGAATTTCATGTAAGGAAGGGTTAGAAATGTGACAGGTTAATAGGTTTAATGATATGAATCATCATCTAATTTGCTAGAGTCTAGACATCTGGTTCACCAATCAAGGTAAACATATTTTACTATATTTTACTAGATAACCTGCTGAGTTTAGTAGTTGTCACAGGGAGGGAACGTATGTGACTTAAATTGTAATCGTAATAAACGAATCAAGGCTCAACTGTTTAATAAATTTCCTTCTCCCTATATTTCCCTCTCTGGCATCTCACCCTTCAGGATCTCCCTTAAAGGAATAATAATTAATCACCAAACTCTGCGATATCAATAAAGTTTATTTCACAGGAAGGTAATAGACCAGATAGAGAAAGGTTTGGAAGTGGAGAAGGCAGAGAACAAGTACATTACGGGAGCAGCAGTGAAGGTAAAGGTGCTGGAGGAGAGAGATCAGATAGCTGCTATTAACGCTTACGAGGAACTCAACCATACGGAGGTGGTCACCAGGGATATCTATCAGGTATGGAATGAAGATTTGGGATATAATATAATGTATTTAATTCAAGTAAATTAATTCGAGTGAATTAATCATAAATTATGATTTAAAGATCCGAGAGCGTTGAAGCAAAGGTTTGTAAAAATTTAATTAGATAACGTGAACTTCTGTCTTGAATTTTGAATATATTTGTAGATGGTTTAATCGAAAAGTGGGAGCTATGAAATATCGGACATTTGCATTTGCCAAGATATAGGATTACCCCAATTTACGTGACAAAATAATGTCGGCGTAAATTAACGAATTTACCACCATTACTAAAATCGATGCAACAATATTGCGATACTTTTATCCTTTCAAAATATATTACTCAAATCTATTAGTATTCTTGACGCACTCACGTCTTAAATACTTTAAATAACTTTGCAAAGCAGGAAGATCAATTATTGGCCTGCTCGAAGCCTGTCATATTTTCAAATTGACCATTAATCTAAGATTGTATAGTGTCAGTGACAGACCTGAGGCCTATAACAAAGTGTTTTGAGGGCCTTGAGTACGTGAGTGTGTTTTGTTTTATATTAGTGAGATTAACTTAAGTGTTAACTTGTTAAGCTTAGCCAAGACAACACTGGAGAGCGAGGAAGTATAAAGAAATGGAAATCTATCTTGAGCCAAAATTCGTTAAATACCAAAATTCGTTTAGTAGAAACCTATGGTTAGAATTCAAGTCGCATTATGTCATATTCCCTTCCAGTGACAACTACAAACCTCAGCTGACTTAATAGTTAACACAATCTATTTTAAACCCAACATTTGAATGAAAACGGGGAAGTGGGGAAATTTAATTTTTCTAAAATTCCTCATTATAATAGTGTTGATTTTATTTGAAAATGATGCAAAAAGTATGAGTTCTGCCGAAGGCCATAATCGTGCCGGCTTGTTCATATTTAAATTATCTAAATCTTCGTTTACATTGCTGTATTATTAAAAGTATAAAACATTTATCAAGTTGAAGTAATCAAAATTTCTGTAGATGACAAACAAGGAGTAGATAAATACAAACTATAGGCCGGTATTACTATTATTTAAGGCCCATAATATAATGAAGGAGAGAAATTGGAAGTAATGTACGACCCATATAGTACAAACGTTAATGATTTACATTAAAGTACTATGCACGGATGGAAATAATTAGAAAAGAGCTGCCACTCTTGGCGCTCCTCAAGCATGTTGTACTGAACCCTAACAAGATTATGACGCTCAGAGGTGGCCTAGCTCTGTTAGTAGCCGTGAGAACTGTCCAGAGGACAAGTGGTAATCCGGTGGTGATCCACTACTTTCCACTATAAAGCTATAACTACTGCAGAGGGGACCAGTACAATCAATCTGACGACTTAGTGGTTATCGTGGACTCCGATACAAATTATCAAGCTGTTGCATTAGAGAATTGTAGGACCTGGCACCACATAAATTATCATAATCTTTAATAAATATCTTTGATATACATTTTGTCTCGATTGTTAAGTATCTAGGAGTAATCTTTTGACTGGGTGATAAAGGATGGGGCTTATTAATTACCAGAACTTCTGACATATTCATACAGTATACACCAGACATCCGAGTAATTATTTGCCCCCGTGCAAAGTTATATTACTTGAGCAGATATCCATTAAAATCAGAGATCAATCCCTCGAGAATACATATTTGATATTACGAAAAATAAGTAGCATGCATTCTAAAGACATGAAGATGGATTAAATAAGATTAATAAATGTTGTTGTTTCTAGGATATAGGTGTACGAAATATCAAAATATGATTGGAAGAAAGTATTTAAGTTTTAAAATTATTCCCAATGAAGGCAATGATTATGAATTAAAGGCCAATGTAGGATGCCAAGCAAGTTGATTAAAACCCTTTTACGGTTATACTGAAGAATTTCATGTAATGGGGAAATAACATCAACCGGTTGCATTCCTGTCCCGTCAACTAATGAGACGCTGCCAAGTGTCAAAATGATTGACAATTTTTGATAAAACTTGAGAAATTTGACAAGACGAAGTCCTAATTATAATTACAATGAAGATAATAACGCTCAGTGACCGTGTCACTCGAATTTGGTGTCATATAATGAGCTATCAAGGTAATTGTTATAGAGCTTTCTATTTTTAGGCAGAAACATAACTTTGCATGGAAATAAAAGACCTTAGTCATTAGTCCCTATAAAGCTCAAACTGGAGACCCAACATGGTACAAGGTGTTCTTCCCTTTGAAAGTTAAATTTTATCCTTGATGAGCCACACCTGCAGCCAAAAACAGTCAGAGTATCAGGACTTCCCCAGAAATGAAATACATCTATTCGTTTAAGTTTACCTTCGATAAGACAAAGCTAACATAATATAGCAGTGTACCCATACAAAAGCAGATGATTAAATAATCATATATAATTAAAGAGTAATAACCTTATTAATATCTATCAGGTAATCACTAATTATTTAATTAAATGTTAATTGTTAACATCTTCAGGTGGTGGACAGTAATGGACACACCGTCGTGATATCGGGCCTTTACAACGAGGAAGCAGCACCTCACCAGATGATGGAATACGCACGAACCCTTCTAAGGGAGGCGTCCGAGAAGAATATCACGATAAAAGTGGCTCTTCATTCAGGTTCAGTCTTTGAACCTATATTAACATATTGGCATATTGATAAACTGTGGCAAATTATGTATTTCGCGAAGAAATCTTGAAATTGAGTAAGAGGGTCCTGTATTAGAATAGTGGGAAATTCAGACAATTATTTAAACCAGAATGGCAAAATGGTGGTGCAAGTAATTCATTTCATATTATTAATCAATCTCGAGAAATCAAATCACGCAACGTTCAAATCAACAGAAAGCATTTAAATGGTCACCCAGAACATTCGGGAATTTCTATTTATACTGTTGACTAATTTATAAATGCAATGGTGATCAATGGCTTTGCTATAGAGCTATAGAACAGCGAGAACAAGTATAATAGATTCTTTAACGCATATAAAGTATTATGTTATTCCTTATGATCAACGCAGATATTACTCATATTTCTTAGTAATGCTGCAGTAGTATCATTAGTATTACAGCGATCATAGAGCCCGAGATATGTAATTATAAATGTTGCTGGCAGTAGTAAAATTACGACTTAAGAGTTAAGAGGAGCTCGACAAATAACCTTTATAGTGAGCAAGTTATATGATGATCAAATATTACACTGCTGCTGCATCTCTTACAAAGTTAAGGGATTATCAGCCAAACGACTTTTTCTCTCAAATGAGGCATTGACAGGACGGGTTTCTATGTATAATGGAACTAATTTTTTGAACTTTACGTTACATGCGATTTTTTTAACAACCCTCTTAAAAAACAATCTTTTAGGTGTAGCATCAGGCGGATTGATTCTGGCAGACACTTCCAATCCTCGACTTTGCATAACCAGCAATTTAGCGACACAACTTGATGCTCTCTTGGAAAACGCCAACTGTGAGAAATATTTAATTCGTAATATGAAAATCTCGTGCTCCCAATGGTGACAATTAATTACGTTTCACCGTATGTAATTGTAATACTATTCGTAATAATAGACAATTTGATTTGCTAATATTTCACTCTGATGCAGTTGGAGACATAATCTTGACAGACACCGCAAGAAAAGACATTCCGGAAGATATGCAAATAAAACCACATGGAGAACTTAAACTTCTGGTTAGAATTTCAAACATTTTTATCGCTGAAGTTCCAAGTTCCATCTATGGAACTATGTGTATATTTAAATTTTAATTCTATCTATTTTAATTCTATCTATATTTTGTGGCATACTTAAAAAGCTTTTACGTAGCCGTAAAACCTAGCAAAAATGAGCACACCGTGACCAGCTACGGCAACATCTTATAACAAAATACAAGCCACTAATTTGATATATAAAAGCTTCAAAGTTAAGAGTGTGCGGCCCCCAATAATGGCAGAAGGTGTCGTAGTCTCAGGGCTTCTTGATCTTTGCAGCCACTAATGACTGTGAATTGTGAAACAGATATGACACTGGATTGCTACTTGGTTTGGCGTCTACCTTTATGAGCCGATAATGCAAATGGTATAAATATTAACTGTAACTGTAAGACGATAGATCTCACCGCTAAGACCTATACTACTTTCATAAAAAAGTCATCGCTGTCAAACATCATGTCTCCAAACATCAGGTCATGTTTCCTACATCCTGATGTCTCCAAACATCAGGCCATGTTTCCTACATCCTGATGTCTCCAAACATCAGGTCATGTTTCCTACATCCTGGTGTCTCCAAACATCAGGTCATGTTTCCTACATCCTGATGTCTTCAAACATCAGGTCATGTTTCGGGTTTCCTACATCCTGATGTCTCCAAACGACCAAACATCAGGTCATGTTTCCTACATCCTGATGTCTCCAAACATCAGGTCATGTTTCCTACATCCTGATGTCTCCGATTTTGGAATTCTAAAGTTTTATGCTACCCGGGTTTAGAATTAGATCTTGTGATGGGATTGTCCACCTGATTGTCCTAGAGTTGATAATATGGGCGCTCTTGTTAAGTTTTTATAACCAAGTCTCTTGGGTTTCATTGTCTCAACAGTGACTGGATTAGTAACATTCTGTGGCCCTAGAAACTCATTAGTGACAATTTAAAAATATCACCCGTGAATCGGTAAAGCATCTTAAAGACTATAAACCCAAGTCATTCAAAGTTAGAAATCAAGGTTCAGTGCAAGTTTAGTGCAGGTCCTCTTAGATCTACTCTGTACCAATTGCAATTGATATCTTAACCTTAAGTTATTGTATAAGTCAAGTAAGACAGTTTTGAAAATAATTAGTTTCCTGACATTTGCCTGAAATTTATTGAACTGAATTGACTTTTAAAAAACAAAGGGTGAATGCCATAACCGTAGCAAGTAGCGACGCATTATATGAGCAACTTAAAGTAATATTTGATAATTATATTTGATAAATGTCTCGACGCATTAATTTGAATTTCAAATATTAATTATAGTTATAGCTATACTTGCAGAAGGCCGTATAATATATACAGGGTGTTTCGAGACTCGTGTCCAAATTTTGAATGGCTCTCAAAATCTAAAAAATGAGACAAACGGTCTAATTTTTGTTTTAAATTGTAGACAAATTATTATATTTTAAAATACATAACAAAAATAAATCTAATATTTCAACAATTTTTCGAACCAAGCCCCCTTTCTGCATAGAAGGTTTTGAACCCTCGGAAGCATATTGTCTATTGCACGTTTTACCATGTCAATTTTTTTCCCTACTCTTGCCGAAGGCAAAAAGATCGTAGGGAATAAGTAATCGGGTTTGGATATATGAGGTGGCCCGACGGTCCTACGATGTCGACAAAAGTCTGCTCCTTCGCAATATAGACCACTCCCCTATAATTATGTGTATAAAAGGAGTCTATTTTGCGCGCGCGACGCCAGTTATGTGTTAATTAATTACAGGCATAGCAACCAGTTTTTGGTGCTTGACGACTGTTACACACGGATCAATCATAAATTTAAGTGTTATTTTGGTGAGACAAGCTTAATTAATTACCGAGTGATAAAATTCAGCAAGTCAAAACAAATAAAATTATGATATCAACTGATAAACTCGTGGCTGATTATTATACAGTTAATCGACACTGAATGGTAAAAAGCATAGGAATACATAGTTAAGAACAGATGTTACTTTACATTTACATTCAAGAAGCTAATATCAAGATTGCGGTATGCTTTTAAAGAATCGTATATCAAATAAAAGGCTCGAAAATCGATGGTGCTATAAGTATAGATGCGTCGAGTAAGCATCAAAATGTATTAGTTTATATTAGATAAAAATAATAACTAAGACGAGGCAGAATATTTTATTACAGTCACAAGTCAATAAAGTTGGCATACGATGCAGTAATATGACGTGACCGGTGACATGATACGCATCGTTATTGCTATTAACACGAAACAAAACCGCGCAAAGTATGAAATGATCTACAACCAAACCACATACAGATCGACGGCGACACCTCAGATGCGCGCAGAATTTTTCAAGTTCTGCACGCCTAATATCATATAAACGATTATCACGTGCGCCAAACACCACTCTGGGATACAATAAAGTAGAACAATAACATTGTAGGCAGTAGGGAAATTTGATCGTGCGTGGTGTTACCGCGGCGAAATTCTTGTTAACTTTTTAGCCTCCCTTCTGATATTGTTTTTTAGCTCATCTACTGTTTGTGGGACTGGGTCTGAATAGACACGTTCTTTCAGATAGCCCCACAAAAAGAAATCGGCCGGATTCAGGTCAGGGCTGTAGGGAGGTCAGCTGAACTCAGCTTTCCTCGATATCAGTCTTTCCCCAAAATGCTCCTTCAGCCAAGCCAAACTTTCGTGCGAACAGTGTGGAGGGGCCCCGTCTTGTTGGAATATACAGGAATCAAGTATTTTTTCCTTTTAAGTACTGGGATAACTTTTCCACGCAACATAGCAATGTAATTTGCTGTCCTTATCGTCTCTGCCTTCTCTTCTTCATTCTCGAAAAAGTGGGGTCCGAAGACACCATGGTAACTGAGGCCCATCCAAACAGTCACCTTTTCTCTGGTTTTTGGACCTTCCACGGTGGCATAGGGTTGCTTATCTGACCAGATTCGGGCATTCTGAGTATTAACCCACCCTGATAGTTGGAAGTGAGCTTCATCGGAGACAATAAGGTTCTTCAAAAAGTTTTGATCAGACTCAATTTTGCTAGCAAATTGCTTGGCAAAGTCCACTCTTTGCTGCTTGTTGGGTGCCGTCTGTTCTTGCAACATCTGAATTTTGTATGGGTATTTGCCCAACTCCTTTCTCAAGATCCTCCAAACGGTTGTGGTAGCTTAGTTCTCTTAGCGATGTTCCTTACAGAACGTCGATCGAGGGCTTTTGTCAAGGATTTGGTCGACTTTTTTGATGTTTTTCTCATTAACTGCCGTTTTTGCACCCCCACCTGTTGGTTTCCTTCTGAGAGTCAATTCTCTCTCAAATTTCGTCACTTGTCGCTGAATAGTCCTAAGATGAATTTTCCTGCCTGCATTACCGTATTTCTTTGAAAGTGCCCTCCTAGCAGCAGTCCAACTACTTCCGTTGACATAGAAAAGCTTGACCATGGCTACTCTCATTTCGTCTGATATGCCAGATTTTGACATTTTTTCGAAGAAAATTTCGAAAGGATACAAATTTGCAAAAAGATGAGTTTTGAAACGAATATGTGAGAGATAACTAAAATGTAAGGTATAACTTTTTTTTTTGTGTAAATGTAAGGTATAACTTTTTTTTTTTTGGAAAACGAAATTAGATATATACAGAATAGTATTACAGGTTATACATATATAATGAATATCATCATTGTCAAAAATAAAAACCAGTCCATGGGACTGAAAAAATTAATTAACTTTCGATTCGAAAGAGTTAAATTCTAAATCATCCATGTTAGATAATTCTACAGTTCTATTTGAGGTTTTTCTAGATCCTCTTATACATAATAAGGTATAACCAGCATTTTAAAACCGATTGCATCTAATTTTGCTCCTTCATAAAATTAAAAATTAAAATTTTAAATTTGGACACGAGTCTCGAAACACCCTGTATTGCTGTAGTGCAATACCTATACATTATAACTTCCTTGCAATTACCCGATCTTATGCGTCATTAAAGTGCGAGCACTGGGATGTAAAGATTTCCAATTAAGAACATAAACGGATTTTATTAAAATATCCAGAGCATCATGGTCGAGGCAGCCATGAGAGGTTTGCAGGCAAAAACTATGAACGAGTTAAATCTTTTAAGGGAGCCCACGCCCAATCAGCGCATGTCGAAGATTTTGGTAGCATCAGAAATTAGGATTAACTAAAATGTAAAATGAGGTGACCTGATGACCACTCCCGATCCAAATTTAAGCTAGTATAGTATAGTTAGAGGAATGCATCACAAATTTTATCGAAATAGTTACGATAAATCATTTATTGATCAAATTTATTCATTGCCCAAATTTGAACTAACAAAACTATACATATTTTGTCACAGAAATAAACAGAGAACAATCGTTTCAAAACATAAATTTATTTGAGTCGATGCAGTGCGATTATCCAAGCTGCACATGAAGCAAAAATTGGTTTTATATCTGACTTACACTTCATGCAGACGTTCATCAAAACATTGATCTATGAAATTGGGAGAAACGATATTTGACTGGCATAACTTTCAGGGTGAATCAATCGAAACGTTTCTACTACAGACGGCAACTACGACGACTACGACGACTCAGTCTGAGTCGCCAGTGGAGGAAATTAATCACAGGTCCGATTTTTATATCAGCAGCAGTTTCTTAACTTCAAGGATATAGGGCCGAGAGCTGTACTATACAGCTGTACTGTACAGCCTTCTCATTTCTTGGGAAATGGATTTTATTGGACATTATTTAGCAAGGTCTAAGTACGGTCGTATATCGGCCGTTATATTTAAAGCCGACCTAATTTTTATTTAATCATATTCATAATTATGCGTGATTCATGATACTATTTACTAAAAGTAAAAATAGGCTTTTCCAGCTCCAGAAGTGATATTTACGAAGGATTAAACTAATTAAATGTTTTATTCCAGGATCGAACCTGTAGCGACCAAACAGATTCCTAATGGGACAGATTCGAAACACATTGTATAATTATTCAGTAACATTTCCATTACCTCTGGAAAGTCACAAAAAATCGGAGATTCTCAAAGTTTTGCTTACCGTGGTTAAGACGTTCACTCGCAGCTTGCGACCTTGCGTGTCCTTCAAAGTTCGATTGCCTGATTCAAGTTAATTTCTTTACTTACCTAACCCTCGGTCCCTCGGTGGTGACGCCATGGTAAGGGATTACGTCAACTTTAAAATTATTATCTTATATCATGTCAGAACGATTAGTTTGGTATAACTTGATGAGTGGGGTAGGTGGCTATTGCTAAAAAAGTATTAAGTATTGCCCAGCTTTGATGTGAATGGATGGCGTAGCATTAGAAAAAGGTCCTTCAACTATTAGAAACCGATAAATTTGTATTACCCGTTAAGTTGAGTGCAATAAGTTGTAAGCATGAGTAAGACGTATCAATTGTTGTTTTTTATTTCTTATAGTTAGTAAAAGTTTAACAGGACTATCATTAAGGAAGTCTCTGCATTTAAATTTTGTTTGTGATGAATTACATTCAAAGGTGATAATTTTTTTATTTTTGTGATCATGTCTTGACACTTGATCGAGAAATCGATTTACAAGTTTGATATTATCGTTATTTTCTAAAACTTATTTTGATTCTATGTTGATGGTTTACTGCACCAAAAGTTAATATGAGATACTGTTTTTATTTCAATCATAACATTAACATGAAAATGAGCTATTTTTATTTAAACAGATTTATTTGTATGATATTCAATAAAACATCTTGATTTATATGTTTTCCCTACAGCAATTATAAAATAAAACACAAGTTTATCGAACTGGTTGGCAACGAGACTCCGACCACTTTCAAGTAAACATCAACCCGTTTAAATGTCTGACCGTTAGATTAAAATAGATTTCAATAGCATCAAAAGAATGAATTTGGGTGGTAATGGTATAACTATACCAATACCATTATACCAAATTATGGATTTAAACCAAAATCTAAGGGCGTTCCTTGAACATCATTGCAGTGTCTAGTCTACTATAGCAGTTATTACCGATCAATTTTAAATAAATGCTCTGCACCACACGAAGATAAATGACGACAATAAACATCTCATATAAACACTGACTCAGACTACAACAAGCACTCTGTTCAAAGACTCCAATAAATCAACCCCGCACATTTCCGCAGATTCTGACTGAGAAACAGTATTATACCACTAAACTACTCAAATAGCTGTCGAATTGAGATCACGCATGACATATAATTATAAATCATCAGCATTCTATCACAAGATCAAATTTAAACTTAAAAGACGCCAAAAGGTTAAATCAACTAGTGTTAGGTGATTGCTATTGCTAGAGGTGTCCGCAATCAACTAACAGTTAACACTAACAGTCAACAGATAGCTAATTATTAAAGAAAGCAACAATAAAATTTGAAATTTGACACCACATAATGATCCTTTAAGTTTAACATTTATAAAAGTTGGTGCCGTTTTTGGCTCTTTGACGGCGTCTGATTTTTAATTGCTATCAAACGTTAAACTTAATATCAACCGGATATTGTCACTCGGACATCGCAGAAGTCAGTTCTGCGATCAAGGTATCCGTATAGTTATATTGAGTGGTGTAACGATCACCCCGCTGTATGCGGGGAGGTATTTTACTTTTAGGTTAGCGACTAAATATGGTTCTTTACGGTTACCGATATAGTTGAAATTCGACATCTAGCGTCAATCGTCATTTAGCGTCATCTGACGCTAGATCGATGACGCTAGATGTCGAATTTCAACTATCGGTAAAGAACCCTAAATATAGCGGGGGTGGCACACGTTTTGCCACGTAGTGACGTACTATTAACTATAATTACACAAATTTCGCGAGAATTGTCATGACTACCAAAGATTATCAGTCGACACGAAAACTGTGACGCGTAGTTATGGAGATGGAATCAGAACTGAGTTACATTAAAATGAGTAAAATGAATTCTGCCTCCTGAAGATAATATGCTTTCTGTTAAATCAGACGCATTAATTTAAAATCAAAACTCCTTGACATTCCCTGTCAATGTAGATCCTAGATTATGAAATACAATATTCTGATTGAAATTTGTTCGGGGATGTTCGGTTCTAAGAATTAGGGCACAGTCTGTAGCAGAGAAGGGATTAAAGCTACGTCTGCTGATTTAGTCTAGTTGTCGCACGAATACTTAATCTAAACTAGCTTAATTTTTTAGAATTCCCCTGAAACTCTTTGAAGACATGTAACCATGATTCAAAAAATATTTGTAAATCTAGTCAAAGATAACATGGACAATAAAAGGCATTTAATAAAAATAAAAGTATAATTCAAAGCAAATCCAAGTCAAAATCGTCATACTAAATCAAGCAATCTCAAAATATACGCCAATCACATAAACAGATTTATAATTCTGTCACTAAATCACTTGCTGATGGTTCAAAACCTGGTTTTTATAGCTAGCAATATGACAACCAACATTAACCTTGAAACAGACATGTTAACCACTTTTCCTTTGTTCAATATGGTTGAAATCAGAAAATTAGGGACAATAAAAATGTCAAGTCTTGAGGCCAGAGGTTTGATTGCTTGAATATAATTTTCAGTCCAAATACTCAGAATTCAGACCGTTTTACCCCTTCAACCAATGTGAGTATATGTTCAACCTATTAGGCAGTGACAACTGGCAATACAATGGGAAACATAATTATATGTTCAATAAAACAGATTTCTGGAAATGACTGTTTAATCAAAGCCTTGTCCTAAATGGATTCGCATAATTGTGCCATTGCAGCTTTCCGAATAATCCAAAGTACAAATGCTTACACGTACAGCTTTCATATCAAGTAGTCATGCACGCTCCTTCACATTTCCTGAAAAGAAAGTTCAGTGTTCAAAGAGACATCTACTTCTACTGCAACTCATTAAGCAGGCATATTTTTCAAGGAGCCACGCCTTGAAGTTGAACTGTCCACAGAGGACATCCCCAAGATGTTAGAGAAGACTGTGCTGGTGAAGACAGAGTCGTTGGGTGCTGAAGAGCCAGACGGTCCGGATGATACAGAAGATCTAGGAGCTGTCAGGGTGAAGTCTCCACGCAGGGGACTCTCACTTACAGACGCAAGGTTGGACGATCTGGCCTCTGCAGAAAGTGGTTGTGTGTTAATTGGGTTTAAAACAGTTTGGTCTAAATAATAATACAATTATGCAGATGCAGTTGGCAGTAAAAGGGTCATGTTGGATCGGAATGGTTTCCATTTGGAATTAATTTAAGATGTTAAATTGGTGACATTAATCACCAACTGAAATATTTTATAATGATATACGGCTATCAAAGAAGTATTCAAAGTATTATTACGGGTAATTAAAGACACGCTTCTGTATTTGTTGTCAGCTGTACACATTGACACGCAACTCTGAGATCTCACTCGTGTACTTTTCAAACTCTCTCTGAACCTTATCGTATTCTCTACGTGCTGGAAAAGAAATAGTGTGTTTCAAGTTTGTGAATAATATTAACAATCAATTACAAATTAAATGCAAGATCTGCAATAAGAATAACTTTTTACTCAAAAACGTTTATTTCGATTCTCGGTGTTCATTGCGAGTCAATATAAATTGTTCAAAAGGAAATCCCAAATTAGGATATGTACCTGACGAATTGTACCAGCATTGCTATGATGTCTCTCCAATCGTCGAAGTGGACTGAGTTGACCCATTACTGTTGCAGTCCTACAGATGAAGTTTTTTAATAGTAAACGTTACCATTTCTGTAATTCTACCAAAGTTAATAAAGACCTTGTTTGAGGTATAAAAATGTATTTGTCACAATGGGGATGAGAATGAGTGCAGCACTAGAAACATACCTGCTAGACGCGTCCATACTACTTCTTCTTGTGATGATTCTTTTATATGCTGACCTTGAATGAATTTGAAATATGCATTCAAAAGGTAAAACTGTAACTTAAGTCTATACAAATCCCACAGAATTGTAACTTTATAAGATTATAAAGCTGAAATTAACATATTTAAATGTTACCTAAATTCTGGGTTGAAGACGCCGTATATGATAGGGTTAAGAGCTGAGTTGAAGTAAAGTACCCAAGCAGTGGCCATTAGTAACTTTCTATCAATCTCGTATTCTTTACCAAACCAAAATGCGTTACCTGTAGTTCAAAAATGAAAGAAGGGTTCCGCCGAATGGAACATAAACTAGAATAGATAGTATTATTTATAAAAGGAGAGCGTACGTTTGTGGTTCTACCATCCGTTGGAGACGGGAGTACATGTTTAAAGTGGTTTAATTTTCACTGTTTAACATAATATGAGGCTGCATATTTTACAGACCTATCAAGGTTGATGGTAAAGTACAGAACATGAATGCTCCGCAAGCAACGAACACTGTGATAGCTGCCTTTTGGTTTGGCTTCATTCTTCTTTTCCCTTTGTTCCTCTGATTCTGTGTTATCTTAACTCTGGAAACATGGTACTTGGATTCAAATATGTTTAGTTTCTTTCCGTTACTATTATAGAGAGGACGACAAATTTGATTCAACCGCAAAAAACAGCAATTATATCTTGAACTTTGTTTTTATGATGAGGCACTTGCAGGGTCGTATCACCTCACTCGGGACTTACTTATTTTTCATTGCCAGCAACTTTGTGAATATCTTTGTGTAGGAGTATCCTGATAATGATTAGATATCTTTAGTTACAGACTGAAAATGTACATGATAAAACTCATCAAAATTCATTGAATTGAGAATTTGAGGACACTATATTTTCTATTCATAACGATCTGGGAGATATAATCATAACAAGATTAGAATTAAACTATAAAAACATCACGTACCAGCAACTACAAGCGGAACAGGAAAGGAGCCTATCTGGAATAGCAGGAAGTAGTACTTGTGGTAGCCGTGCATTGTAGGGTTCATAGCGCATGACAGAGTAAACGTAGAAAATGCTGTGATTTTAGTGAAATTAATGAAGGAAATGTTTTTCAAATTTCGTGAAATTTTGCTTTAAACTATTTTTAACATTTTAAAAGGGGAAGAGCTAAAGCCAAAGCAAACTTTTTACGTGAATTGTAACTGCACGGCATAAGTTTTAAAACGTTAATACTCGGAAATAAATCACAAGAAAGGAACCAACAGAATTCATTCCATCCAAGCAGTGGAGCTGAAGAGAGAAGTATAGCGTAAACCCACAAAGTAAGAGTGACAACAAACACCCTCTTTTTAGTCACTAATCGCTTGTACCTGGAATTACATTATGACCAAATTAGATGTACGAAATAAATGAGGGCACGAAATGGTTGGTGAAAACTGAAATCAAACCTATTTCGTTAAAAATCTCAAAAAGATATTTCCAAGAAGATTCTCACTGGAAAGGTCTAACAATACAGAGCAGCCTGTCAATGGAACAAGCACCAAGGATCCAGACCGAGGCGACTATAGCAACATCGTCCAGGTACGCTGATATGTTGCACCATATATCTCCAAACTTGTACGCACCTATCGGAAGGAAGATTTAATTTACCAATCATTAATGCCAATGTTATATTCTAGTTCTCGATTATTCAATGTGGGAATTAGAAGATTCTCCCTTAAGTTTTAACGTTTGACTTTCAAATAATTAGAAGTTATTTCAAAGATCACACGTATTTTTGGAGGGTTTTGCGTTAAACTAAAGATACCTGCTGAATAGACATTGACAGCTATAATGGGGAGGGTCTGAGTACCAACAATGAGATCCGCTGCTGCGAGACTGATAATAAACAGGTTGCCGTGCACTCTTCTTAGTTTCTTTACTCGGGCGAACGAGAGGATCACCAACAAGTTCCCTGGGCGTAAATGGGATCTTGGGTATTTATAAACAGGTAGTTATAAACATTGAGAATGTTTATAAACACTATTAATGTGTATTTAGAAGTACATACTACATACATGTAATCTTTTATTATTATGAGTTCTTTCCGAAATAAAATATTTGATAAACACAGCTATGGTTATATAAGCGGATCTGCCATTTCAGTGACTTGTAAAGTCATCTTACGTTGTAATTTGCACTGCATCCTTATCTATTGTTATTAACTACACTTGTAATACTGGGGGTTAAACTTATAGTGGGCGAGGAAACTAACGAGGAAGGTGCGTAATTTGACCGTAATAATCATGACCCTGCTAAATTCCAAGCATGAAATGATTTGTATTCTTCAATTGAGTCTCTTCAAATTACACTGGAGACTGAAATAAAAGATACCAAGTGACAGCAAAACCACTATGACATGAAATTTGACAAAGTATTTGACAAGGCATTTCACCCATCGGCGAATAATGAATATGGGTCATTTTGAAAATGACATTTCTGGTAAACCATTAGCGTGTAAAACTTAAGATTGAACCATTCGAAGTTTGAATTATAACCGAGAAGATACCCACCAACTATACAGATAAGGGAAAGTATGGCAAGAATGATGACAACCACAAGTCTTTCAGACGGTAATAGCATAACGGTCGGAGTATTAGTTGTGCTTGACATATCTGGGCATCAGCTCCCCGAAAGTCGTCTGATATCTAACAATATCTCAATTGGATTGAAAGATGTTTGGCTCAGGGGATCATAAACAATACAAAATATACGATATCGCTCGCTATCGGAAACTATTTTCTTACAGTATTTATATTTATAGGGCAAGAAAGGCTGGGCTGTACCGTAAGGTTAGCAGTTTATTAATAGCAAAACCAGTGTGAACTTATACAATCAGCTGATAAGATTGGATCCGATCAATTGCGGTTTATGCGACCCTGGGCCTGCCGGTGGTAGGGCAATTTTCATTAGAGTTGGGTAAAATTGGAATGTTTCATAGCTCTATTCACAGTGAAGTATATAACAGTACGATGTCAAGTGAAAAGAGAGAGAGGGAGAGGGAGAGAGAGAGGGAAGGAGGGAGGGAGGGAGGGAGAGAGGGAGGGAGAGAGGGAGGGAGGGAGGGAGGGAGGGAGGGAGGGAGGGAGGGAGGGAGGGAGGGAGGGAGGGAGGGAGGGAGGGAGGGAGGGAGGGAGGGAGGGAGGGAGGGAGGGAGGGAGGGAGGGAGGGAGGGAGGGAGGGAGGGAGGGAGGGAGGGAGGGAGGGAGGGAGGGAGGGAGGGAGGGAGGGAGGGAGGGAGGGAGGGAGGGAGGGAGGGAGGGAGGGAGGGAGGGAGGGAGGGAGGGAGGGAGGGAGGGAGGGAGGGAGGGAGGGAGGGAGGGAGGGAGGGAGGGAGGGAGGGAGGGAGGGAGGGAGGGAGGGAGGGAGGGAGGGAGGGAGGGAGGGAGGGAGGGAGGGAGGGAGGGAGGGAGGGAGGGAGGGAGGGAGGGAGGGAGGGAGGGAGGGAGGGAGGGAGGGAGGGAGGGAGGGAGGGAGGGAGGGAGGGAGGGAGGGAGGGAGGGAGGGAGGGAGGGATGGAGGGAGGGAGGGAGGGAGGGAGGGAGGGAGGGAGGGAGGGAGGGAGGGAGGTAGAGGGAGCACAGTATACACGATACCGTGGAGTGTACTGAGTTAAACGTTAACTAGAGCAAGAAGGATCCTTCTTGCTCGAGCTTCTTATAAATGCTTTTTGTTTTCCCCTTAACGAATAATCCCCATAAGTATATGCATTGGCGAGCCTAAACCTTTAAAAATCAAAATCATTAGGAAAGAGCCTTTAAAACTTCGAATCAATCGACATAATTCATTATTTTATGGATTCGAAGCATTTGCTAAGGAAAACTAAAAATTATCAGTTGCACTGAAATTCAAAAACATCAGTGCTTCAAATCTCATTAGGAGATTATCTTATGCAACGCCGCAATTTCACGTAAACTGACAACAGCTTCTCGCTCATTATTCAAGGAAAATTCAAGAATAAATGTATTTAAAGAGGATCCAACGAGACATGTCACATGACGCAACTTGGGGGGAACAGTAATAGAAGATCAACGTGTTAAACCATCAGTGGACACTGGATAGTGGATAGGGGCTCGATCCTACTTGGACAAATGAGAACACCCGATTTGATTGCCATAGAAAGTAAACTTGTGGCTTCCAGTCAACATGTTAGTGGGATATAATATGGTGAAATTACAAATCACCTTATGAATATTGACCAATCCTCTACTTCTGGTCAGTTTACGCTACTAACCAGTTTACACTAATAGCTTCCCCAGGAGAAGATTAATACGTTTCATGGTAGATGTCGAACATTCTGCCCTTCTGCAGAAACACACGGAGAAAGAATAATATAGAGTAGGTTTGAAAGATCCACTCTCAGCAGTTTATAACTCCATACACCACATATCATTATAGCTCAGAAGGACTTAAAAACTGGTTGATAGTTTTCTGTAATCAAGTGAGGACAAATTGTTAGAAACTCATTAAGCACGTATTATATTTAATTTCCATAAATTTGTTAGGAATTACGTAATGTTGTTGTATTGATTTTCTCTCATAAGAAGATAAGAAAATGAGTATGACCACTGCAAGCTGTAACATCATGAATCCAATACCTCAATAATGAATTCTAGGCAGGACATTTGTATTGGCTACCTCCTCCCAATCTGATCTATCATCTACTGGTTTAGCTCAACAAGAAAAGGAGTCAGTAATTGTTGCCAAACTACCAACCAGAACCTTCAGAAAACACCACGTGACCACCAGAAACACAGCAAGGTACTATAGCAACACCCACGTGCACAAAAACCAGGCGATGGCAGAACAAAGCGATGATAGAGGCGGTATTGTCAGATTACTTCCGGGAAGTAGTAGGCTAAACAATGCGAACACGTGCATTACTCTCCCTTCTTACACTCCCAATCAAAAATCCAATAAAACAGGATTTATATGCCTAATTTAGCTCACACCATTGTAAGAAGACGAACCTACTAACGTACAACGGACCTTTTGTTGTGCTACCAATTCATCAGTTGTGATTTCGGGTGATCTAACAGGTCAATAGCTCAGTGCCCTAAGATGTATTTCAGTTTTCCTCTTCGCTCATCTGCACTCTTGTTAACTTGGTTTTTATTTCGTAACACAAACTTTTTTATTTGATACATTTACGATTGTTATTTTAACAGCTATAATTAATAGGACTGTTGTGGAACACTCAACACTGTGATAGGTTTGAGCCACAAGTCGCATTGCCAAATAAGGCAACGAAAGATCAGTTCAACCAAAGTTACGTTCTATCAAAATCCTACAATTTGATACAAAATTTTTAAAGGGCTACCGTTTGTAAAGCATGAGGTTATCTCAGGACTGGGATAACGATAACACGTATCTATTAACCTAAAAGTTAAACGAGTATTAGTAAGTCCGATAGAGGAGTACTTGCTGCCCGTTTTAGTCCTCGCATCTGTCCGGTGCTGGTAGACTACTGATTTCGCAATCACAAGGTATTCATGTCCTTTCATGGGGCAGCTGGCACGATTTTTGCGTTTGCGGTTACATCCTTTCTCGGATGCGTTTTGATTGTCAGAATTGTGATCGCGAGCTGATATACTGTGGCCTTTCAGTAATCTTCCCATGTTTGGCATGATCCAGCTTTTCAAGGCCACTTTTAGTCTACATTTTCAGTTCAATGAAGCGAACGATTGCGAAAAATTGTTTATCTAGTAGAGCTAAACAACTTCCATTGCGCTGAGAGAGAGGTTCGTTCAGTTTCTGGTATCTTTATATTTGACTGTCGGCCAAGGTGTTATGTGGTCGACAATATATCTCCAGCGCTTTCTCTATAAAAGTCATCGGGTAACGATGCTCGTATTGAGCTAAAATATCACTTTATTTGGTTGAAATATCTGCTCTTTATTAAGATGTAAGACTTGTTAAACTTCTTATCCATTATCATTATGTAGTTTGGTTTGGTTTGGTTTGGTTTTGTTTATGACTTATTGTTGAGTTCCAGTGTGAGACTGAGGTAGTCTATTTATTATTATATATAGACCAAGGTGCACTGCGATTTTTAGTCTTTCCTGTTATGTTAATGTGATGTGAAATACCAGAGTTCAACCGGGTTCAACAACAAATTAATGGATGCAGAGGAATCTGACGAAGTTGAACTCTTGGTCGAGGAAGATAAACATCCAACCAACTAAACCCGTCCAAAACATGATGGACTGCTCGTTGTTTCCAATTCCATTTTTTTCTAAGTGTCAATCGTAATAAAATTAAAAAGGTTTCAGTAATGATTCATTGTTTTTCATCAATAATCGCTCGTAGTAATTATAGTATAATTTATTTACCAATTAAGACAAAGAGATAAAAATAAATTCTATTCGAACAGAATAATGAACGCAACTTAAAATAATGATATTGAATGACTTTCTTTAAAATTTCAATTTCTGAATATACTTTATTCAGATTCTGGACTGATCTCGAATACTACATTGTGGTTTTGGTTTTTGGTTAAGGATCTTGGAAATATGGACACACCGATCATATCGAATTACTCAATGTAGTCACTCGAAGTTGAATGGTTGATTACAAGAGTTAACTGATTGAAACCTTAGGATTAGGCAATTATTGAAAAATAACACACTTAATCTGACCGATGACAGGGCTATCATTGATCATGTAAATTAGAATCTTGACGAGATTATTTATTACTGAAAAGCACAAAATAAGCAATACCAAAATCATGTCTAATCATAAACCGATGAGTTCACCAAACAGCAAAAATATCATCATGTACAATCACGTGGCACTCATAATCACATCTTAATGATTGGTTGTGAAATAATCGAGAGTCCAATCAAGTTAATCTGACATACAGATTGTGGATCGTTTATAGTAATTGCTGATTAGTCTACATCAAAACTTAAATCACCAAGCATAATGTTTATACTATCCCGGCCTCCAACTTTTCTTTTTTATGTCATTTTTGGTAAACGATGATCTCATCCAGTCAGCGTCATTTGCAAGGTTGCACTTGCTTCACTCCACTGTTACTTATAATTCTGTTCCGTCCAAATCTCCGCTTCTAATTCCACCACGGTTCCAGCTTTCTATTCAGAAGTTTCAAATTTTCAAATAACGTCAGCAGTACCGATAACCGCGGCTTACTCTTAAACAGAGTTCAGAGTTCAGTGAGGTAGTAAAACTCTTTACACCTGGCCCCCATCTCGTTAAAAACACTGAACATTAAAGAACATGTTACTGCTGTACAGGAGCTCTCAGCTGCTTTTGTGGGTTTTGTTAGACGCCACTTCTTAGAACATTCTCGAATAAAGAGCTGTTAATTAATGGTTAAGGCGTATTTGGAGCCAGGTAATGTTTTTAATTTTACAGGGCATGTTGGCACCTTTAATAGTGTACAACCCTGCTTGAATCCTGTTTGACAGCCAGCGATATTGGTTCTGGTCATTTTCGACATTTATTTCTAATAAGATTCATTAATTTAGCCCAGGTGGTTGCTCCAGCCCCCTTAGACTCCCAACCTGCAGCGAGATTTGAAAAGATAATTGGTGTCCAGCAGAACAATTACTTGGGTTTTCCCCCTACTTATTATAATCGTCATGTTTTCGATACTTTATTGCTGTTTAGAAGGTAAATTAAGAGGGGAAATGTGACATGTCTGGATTGCAGCTGACCCCGGTCAGTGCTATTAGTGGGCTGTCCGTGTCACGTGGTCTTTGCAGCTACCAATCGTCTGACAGGGAGTTAAAAACAACCAATGAAAAAAGACCAATAATCGAATGTAGACCTTCGATGATCCTGTCGATTTAGCACTACCAACTTACAATTAACCTATAGGTTTTGACAGTTCCACTTTATTTTGCAGATAAATATAAATACAAGGCGTACGATAAGGCGGCGAATTTTGCAGTTTTTATTTTACTAATCTTGAGTTATATATAGACAAGACTTTCTCTATAAAGAGGCCACTGCAGGTAAAGATTGCTGTAGTCTGCCTTCGAATCTATTTGTCATTTACGTCCTTAGCTTTAGTTAGTTTAGAATTGAGAGGACCATTAATATTTTTTAGCTGAAACCAACGGCAATAAGTTGAAGGTGACAATAGCCACCCTAACTCCTTAGTCTATTAGAATTAGAACACTGCTACAGTTTAACGCTCGAACAAGTTACGGGGGTAAAACAGTTTTCGGTCTGTATCAAAGTCAGGTCCCATGGCTTCTCAATTCGATTTAATCGCATTTTGTAATCGTCAATCCAACACCCAAGATACCATTCTCCTCCACTGCGTTACGGTTATCGAATTTAGTGTGCGCCTATAATTGTCACAAACCCGAGTTCAAAAGGAGTTTTAAGTGAGTCAGTAGCTCTCTGAACAGTTAATCCACCGGCCTGCAACAGTGTAACTAAACCTCCAATTAATGGCACTATACCAGCTAAACGACGCCCACGTGAAGCCGACGAACAAGTTGGAGGAGGGTGGCGCGCGCACGTGGGCCGTGTGAGTGGGAGGGTGCATGAGCAGCCCGGGGTCTCCTAAGTATATACGGCCAGCACCCCCGCTTTACCGAACAGGTGTTTCTCTATTCCTTGATTAAATCCGTGGTTTTAACTACCCCACTAGGCCACATAGAGCTCTCTGATCACTCCACTCGAATTAAACATTCCCAGCCCCACCAATAGGGTGGAAGGTTGGAGCTAGACGGACCAATGAACAGCGGAGAGAGGCGATCACGTGGTATTTGTGAGTTTCCAGGATCGTGTATAGCAAACTAGTCAACCGTTACTTTAATCCACGGTTTTCAAGAGTAAAACGAAACCTCGACTGACGCTTGCATTGATCCCCTAGACTGTAAATATGAGCTTTATTGTAACACATGAAAGTTACACCGATACCCCATGAAACGGGGCAAGGGTTGACGAGAACCAGACAACCTCGGGTCCAGATTACATCACGCCAAAACTAGGTATAGGCTGAAGTTACGCTCTAAATTGGAAGATGCCATCCGGAAGCCACATTTTGTGACATTTCGGTGTAATCCGAGGATAAATCTTCACTCTCGGATGATTTTCAAACACCGTTTAATTATTATATAGTCGAGTACCGGGTATAAGAGCGGACACCTGTCGACCAACCATTGCTTTCAGAATTTCATTCTAAACTTCAATTGGTCTAGACCGATCACGTGACCAACCGGCAGAATCTCATTGGTTTCTCAGGACAACCGGTAAGCAGTCACGTGGTAGTTGAAGATAATTCTAAATGTAGCTAGTGGCTAGTGTTACAAAAACTATTAGTTTTGCGTGATAGGGGCATTGTCCGATCGTTTAGAAGCAGTAGTTCGCAAGCCCCCACCGCGGTGTTGATCGTGTCAGCAGCCGAGGTAAAGTGCTACTCTCCCCCTTTCTCTCTCTCATACTAATGCCATGTGATCGATGGATCTGATAATCTGTCCCAGGCCAGGAGATTATGCACTAATTTTCGACTCGGTTTTTCCACCTCGTTTTGAGTTTACAAATCCTTAGTTTGATGGGTTAAGCTACGACGGGAGAGCTAAGAACGAGTCAAGCATCGCAGTTAAATGGCGATATTGTTACGGACGTGCAGTCGGGCTGTGTGGTTTACCTCAAGTATGACTTAGTATTAATTTTATATAATGAGTAATCAGAAGTAATAAGATATCATTGACTAGAAACAAAATCGTTGTCAGTTGACAGTAATCTGTGGCGGCCATTGGTGAGCTCCTTATCACAGGAAGACAATCGGCCAAGCTTATTGGTCTACCGTCAATCGTTAACTCAGCTAGACATTTCGCAGTCAGTTATTGGTCGTTTACCGGCTTTTTGTCTATTACACTATTACCCAGACCCACCCCCGTATTTTGATAATTGCACCATTGCCCTATCAATATAAAGGTCTGTTAATCAGGGCAATATATTGGTGTGAGCAGCAGCTATAATTCGGCACTATGCACTGAGTAGGGGCCAATATTATTCGTCTCCTCACCCGTAACCGATACGAGAGTTAGGAGTATCCGACTATTGCTTATCTTATTGACCAGTTAACGAGAGAGTTGCTCAGTGATCACTCTTACTCTCTCTCTCTCTCTCACTCTGGGGAGAATTTCTCTACTTGCAATACTTGAAGTGGTTAACGCCCTCTTGACAGTCTAATTTTATTCACGTCCTCGAGTCACAGTTTGAGTTAGGTTGTTGGCGTGGGGTGGTGTAAGCAGTAATCATCCCCACTTATAGTCGTAAGAATTTGTTTCCATCCGTGATAACATTAACGCTTTTCCCTTTCCTCTCCTCCCTCCTCTGGACCTATCACTATTTTTGTCTGTACTATATAACACTGTCAACGTTATTGTGAGTTACAAATTTTTGTGGCCGAGCAGGTAGCCTGTGATGCGGAGAGGAGACCGGTATTAACCGGAGCGTAGGACGGAGTAGAGCTAATTTACAGTTAGTTCAAAAAAAAGACGAAAAGTTTAGACTAGTTCAGTACTGGTTCACCAGCTAGTCGACAAATAACAGTATCAAAATGTTTCATTCAGGGCAACTAGTAATTTACCAGATACATTGCTGAGTCTTCAGTCGGTATAAAATTGTCAAAATGTCATCTCCGGTCACACAAATAGCACGACAGGACGGTATTTCAAAATTTTGAGTTTATAGTTTAGCAGGGATGGAGCTGGGCGGCGCTGACAAATAGTGTGCAGCCCTGCAAGATATCCGCGACTCCTCTCCCCGAGATGAGGTCAGGTGACACATGTCCTAGTTAGACTTGCCAAAACAGGGTAAAAGCCTTAAAAATGAGAACAACTGGATCGATCTACGTGCAGGCCTACGCGCGGAGAGAGGGATAGAGTGAGATTAGGGGAAACCCTAGATCTATTGAATCTAAGCGTTTTCATCACAGAGGCAATTATATAAGGAAACACCTGCTAATATCCACATCTCTTTAGTTGAATTAATCTAAATGAGCGTTTAAGGGACCAGGACATTAGGATGGACGCCCATCCTCCGTACTAAAGGCACTGCTTTGTAAGTGACTAGGACAGGCTTTACCCTCGTGAATAGGATGACACGCAAGGAAGGAGTTGAGATTTAGTTTGACCACGTGACATCCCAGGCAACCAATAAGGTCGGTTAGTTAGTAGGGAGGTCGTTTAAGTGCTTTAAACTTTTTATGCGAACTCTACAGTGCCTTGCCCGCGGTAGTCGCTTCGGTTTAATACGATTTTATATCGTTTTGTTCTTTGAGAGCTACCATTTAAATACTGTATGAGGTGAAGTTCTTTAAGGCGGATGGTGATTCGATGGAGTTGAACTATAGATTTAATGCTGATCCCCCGGTTTGAATCGTCTAGACTGCGATATTTGGCAACAAGGGATGATAAAATGCACTTTATCCCGATACATGCTTACTCACTATTAGGCTATATTTCAAATTATACAAGACACGACAAGATAAATTCCGAGCTCGGCCTGGGTTTCTCCTCCGTTTTTCGATTCTTTTTATAATCTCGTTGTGCTATAGTTGGTGTTACTGTTACTTGGACGTGGTGCGCGTTTTTAAAAATTCGATTCACACGTTGCACTCAAAATTGTACCATGATGAAATAATGCTTGTTAAACGACATTTTGAATGTATAATTTGACAGTTTAAAACTTTAAAATTCAGTACACCCACCTTTCATCAATTGAACGGGGAATTGGGAGGCACCGTCCAACCAAAAATAAGTCCTTGAGCAGTACGATGAAAAGTGCCAGTAGCTGTGAACGACTTTGACACGCGTGTGTACAGCTACAATAACTTTGGAACTGCCCGTAGTAACTTACTTCATGTATACCTCAGTACCATGCTCTGAGGATAAATTCTTCCAATTTCTGTACTTGCAACATATAAATATAATTTTATTGATCACTTAAAAGAGTGTCCATCAAAGGGAGATTGGTTTCGGTGGTTGTTTGTTTTGTACAGCAGCAGAGCAGTTAGGCACAGCCAAGTACGCGCAATTGGTCTTCATACTTGAAGGTTTAAAACCGTGGATTCTGCCCAGCCCTCAAACAGTTTACTTTAGTGCGAGCTATTTCCATCCCTCGGTTTTAACAAAATCGATGATGTGGAAAAGTTCGCTTTTCACTAAAAAAGTTTGCTACAATTTATACCCAACTTTAACGGTATGTGGATGAGGCTGACTTCAGAGTGGAATGAAACTTGTGCGCATTTATTGATTTGAATTGAAGCGAATTGACGCAAAGCATTATTTTGTACCAGAATAATCGTTTGAAGAGTGTTGATTCCAGCGCCTTTTTTACTTTTATATTGGTATATTACGTTTGCGCCCATATGTTTGTTTTAACTCTGAAGTTGGTCGAAATTTTACTTTTGGACTTTTAAAAACACTACATTCTTCCATTTTGAACTGGCGGGCTTTTAAACTGGGTTTTACGCGTTTGATAAGCTTGCGCTATTTTACTTTGAGTTTGCTTTGACAATATTTATACGACTTTTCCTTGGATAAGTGACTTATGTATCGCTCTTCACCCTTAAGACAGATAACCTGTGACAATCTCGGCAGTAGTTAAAGTTTGACAGGAATATGACAACCTAGCTCACTTTATAATTATTTCATAAATCTCAGATCAAGCGGGATTTCACCCGAGCTCATGTAGATTTTAGATATACCTCAAAATGGCTTGATTCACATTACACAATCTACAAAATACAGAAATAGAACCATGAATCAGGATTGAGGTTGAAACTGAATACCCGAATAAAACCGGCACCGAATCTTGCCGGAGGGGCGGAAATCACAATAACTTCTCAGAGAAGTTCTCTGAACAGTGCCCCACAGTCGCTCATTTAACTTGGTAATGCTCACAAATAAGCAACAATGAGGGGCGCTAATGGGGCTTGGTGCCATGGTACACCCCGAACAATTGAACCTTAAAACAAGGTGATGGCCCGAGAAAGTGGGAGGTAAACGTTTTAGGGCAGGGCCCGTTTCATTTGCATAAGTTTTTGAAATTGAGGATAAACATCTCTCTATTTCATTTACGCCTCATTGATTAGAATTTGCATAAAGATCTCACATTCTCACCGTAAGTCCAGTAATGAAAATACATTTATAGGGCAACCGGCAAGCAGTTGGAATTGGTTCTTATTCTTCGAGTGTTAAGCTTGCCTGCTTAGGAGGGAGCGCCCTTAAAACATTGTCTTTGTTTTAAAAGTCGATCAAAAACTCATATCTTTTTAATTGTGTAAACCGTCAAGCTGGCAAATTAGAATTTAAACCTCGATAGAGTGCTCTTGCACAACGTGTACCACATACCTTAAACCAACACCATTGATCCCCCTGCCCAGAGCACGTTGCGAAGCTAACCATTATTTATTACTTTATTACCACAAGCCCCGAGCACCAAACTAAGCACTGCAGTTTGACCGTTTTAATTATTTTATATTCGCACAAGAGCTGGTTCACATGACCGAGCTAACTGTATTACCCAGGTCTGCCCAACTTACTAACTACCACTATATCCTGTTTAGCCAGCTGTCGATAATTACCACTGCCACTGAATTAAACCAGCTTCCGAGAGGGTACTTTCCTGCCGGGGGTTTGTTACCGCCGCCCCCCCTCAAAGCTCAAATAGTTCATAGTTTTGGGCTGGGTAATTAATAGCAGAATTCATTGGGTTGATCGCTGTACTTTATTTTAGGTGTAACGGTCTGTGCTAACTATTTTCTATCTGTGTGTGTTCGGTATGAAGTCATGCACAGTTCACCCGATAGAACAGCGCCGGTGAAAATTTTCTGAAATAATATATTATGAAAATTACACTAAGCTAGGTTATTGGTTACCAATAAAAATTAACCACGTGGTGTTTCCCAGGTGATTTTATTGGTTGTTGTGATATCACGTGATTGCTTGTAAACTCAAAATTGCACCGTGCAACTCTATTTCTCGACCGATACATAATTATCATAGATAGCCTGGTTTACAAATTGCTAAGAACTACCACTTTCCTGATACTCGCAGTTCCACCAAACTTTAACCGCGTCACCAGACATACGAGGCATTTTATTTGGTACTTAACATAAATATACCTCAAATATTCTACCCTATATCATCAAGTGATGGTAGTTGATAACTGATAATTAATAATATTGAGCTGATAATTAATATGGGCTGGTTTTATTGCCTTGTTGGTAGTTGTATAATACTCAATCAATCGGCCAGGACATAAGCTGGTGTCAGCGGTTTTGGTAAATGTTTGGTTTCATTTTAGCTTCTTTTTTTTAATTTTCATTTTATGATAACTCGATTTTATGGTCACTTTCACTCTCAGTTCTCTTCCAACAATTTCAGTTTGTTATAACTTCAATCAATAACGTCCATAAACACGAAACATTTTCTAGATCCAAGAGTTTAACAGGCTTTATATAAATCACATTTCTTAAGCAATTCGTGTCTGATTTCTCTCCCAGCCCTACATTCACAACGAAAACAACGCTCCTCACAAGCAAGCTTAACCTAACAAAACAACTTTAACCTGCTCCGAACAATAGATCTGACAGAACCAGTATAACTATATCTTGTTTTGCACGCCAGATTACCACGGGT